AAAAAAAAAAAAAGAAGAAGATCCAGAGATAGATCCTAGAGCAGTGTTTCCTCAACTCGAACATGCATATATGAATCACCTGGGAATCTTGAAATGCAGATTCTGATTCAGTGGGGGGTGGGGGGAGGGGGCTGGAGATTCTGCTTTTCTAACCAGCTCCCAGGAGATGCTAATGCAACTGGTTGGCATATAATAATACTTTGAGAAGTGAGGATCTAGATTCCAGGGGAATAAATGGACTGCATGTCCTTCAACCTTCCATAAATATGACTTATCTGATAGAACTCTTTTTTTTTTTAAGATTTTATTTATTTATTTGAGAGAGAGAGAACAAGCAGGGGGAGAGGGAGAAGCAGACTCTCTGCTGAGCAGGGAGCCCGATGTGGGGCTCGAACCCAGGACCCCAGGATCATGACCTGAGCCGAAGGCAGAAGCTTAACCCACTAAGCCACCCAGGTGCCCTGATCAGAGCTTTTGATACAAGTTTGAAACCAGTAGTCTCTGATCATATTCTCTAAAAAAGAGCCCCAAGTTGTATGAACTACATGTCTCTGGTGAAGAAAAGAGATGCCTTTAAGATGAATCAAATCAAATCAAATCAATTGATGGTTGTTAAAGACAAAGATAGTCAGATGGTGTTATATCAAAACTTCCTGGGCCCCTACCCTATAATGATAACCACTGCTTTAGGAGAACTTTACCTTGTTCAAGACCTCTGGTTAGAGTCCTGTTCCTGGAGGGAGTTCAAATACCACCCCTCCTACTCTCAGCCTACAGAACCTTGTCCAAATCAAGCCCATGATCAAGCCCAATCAGACAAATATCAGTGAGACTTCTCTGAAGACTTCTCTGAAGCTTGATTCTATTTGATCAAGACTTCTTTCTGAATGAAGCAAATAACTCATGACCAATCCCACTTATACTGTATCATGTCCCTGGTGATTTGGTGTAATGGAACAAGTAGTTAGTTCACATCTCATCAGCTGGTTCCAGACTTTCAGAATGCCATATATGAATATACACATATGGTTGTTTAAACCACCAAATAGGGATATTTGTAGCCATGGTATATATGGAGACAGTTGCAGAAAAGGACCAAGTAGATGGAAGGTTCATATACATTAGAGAATAGATATAATACCTAATTATTCATTATTAGGAGCACTAAATTGTTAATTAGTACACTAAATTAGTTTAAGAAAAAAAAAGATACTTTACCAAGTCATCAAAAATATCTCTCTGATGCACATGGATGGTAATCAGAGTTTCAAACTTCACTCTATCAAACTTGCTTAGGTCATGTGTTGTCTGACTAATTAGAGTATTTAGAATATCCAAAAATTTCTGATTGGTTATGTGCATGATTTTCCTGTCATCTTTTGCATTATTTAAAGCCTCTTCTGAATCATGTGTCCACAACATCTGAATTCCCAGAAGCCCCACCTATGCATCCAGAAGAAAAATAATAAGTAAATTTGCCAACTATTTAAAGCACGTCTATGATAAAATTTGGTGGTCACTCACCCAATGTGAAGGTGAACAAGGTTGACCCACTTTAAACTAAAAAAGAGATATGCATTTCTCCACTCCCAAAAGGGGAAAAATAAACATTTAAAGTTCTAACTACTGATATTTAATGACTTCAATGCAGAGAGATAAATAGTAATTTAAACGATGGCTACCATTTATGGAGTTGTATGTGTTTTATGAAGGATGCTTAGGAAATTTTTCTATAAAGGGTCTGCGACCACCAGATAGCTCCATATGATGATTTTTCTTTGTCAAGGAAAGCAAACAGAATTACTAGACTCATTGTTGAGTATTTTTCTGTAGCAAGGTTTCCCAAAGGTCTCTCTGCAACTTCTAGAAACAGTACGCTATCTCCTTTCTTCCACTCTCTCTATCATCCGTACCTTTTCCTACATCTACTTCTCTCTCTATATATTTATCTGGAGGAGAGAGAGAGAGACAGAAAATGAGAAAGGGGAGAAGCTAGTCCTTGTTCTCCTGATGAGTGCATAAGGAAATTGTGACTGTCACCTTGCCTACAATTTCTACCCTGGGAAAGGAGTAAAATTGTCAGAACGTGGCCCACCCTCACCTTGCCGCACCAGTCGTCCCTTTAGGAGCTTTTGTTCACCAGCAGAGTCGAGCAACAGATCCAAGATCATTTGGACCAAAGGCAACCTCACATTTGGTGGAGGGCTGAGAGCAGAGTGAGTGGCATGGGGATACTGCCGGGCACAGCATTTAATGTGGCTAAGGCAGGAATATAACCCTTTCCTTATCCCTGCCTCCTCAAGACTGCAAAATGTTTTCTGCTAGAGCAGTGGCCAATCCTGCGGGTCTGCAGGTGAAGATAAATGAAGGCACCCGACTGAGGTGAGAGCAACCTGATGTGGAGGAAACCTCCCATGTCAGGAAGCTCCCAGTAGCAAGCCAATTCTGACTCCGATAGCAGCAGCTGATGGCACAAGAGAGGAAAAGCAAAAAACAAACCAACAAACACCCAAAAAACAAAAACACCCAGCAGTGTAAGGCTATCTGATTTAGGGACACAGACCCACAATCTCTGAGAAATCACAGCTTAATGGTATATTCTAAAAACTAATCTTTAAAAGCCTGGCTGGCTCAAAGCATGCAACCCTTGATCTCAGGGTTGCGTAGTTCAAGCCCCAGGTTGGGTATAGAGATTACTTAAAAATAAAAGGACTATCCTGAGTCACCAAGGAAAGTTTAAATGATGTTTTTTACTCAGTTTATGAAGTCAGGAGACTTAATGGTGAAAACTGGAGGATGTCTCATTAAAATAAAAACAAAACAAGAATGCTCATTCTCCTCAGTGTTACTGCCTGTAATAAGGATGTTAAAAATGCTAGAAGGGAATACACTAAAATGTTAAGTCCTCATTTCCAGATGGTAGAAGTAAGTAATGTATATATTGAATAAATATGCATGTATAGAATATATACTGGATGAATATATACCTTAATTACTCTTTAAAGCAATTTTTCCAAATAACTAAAATTTGCCCGCTAAAACTGTTTAAAATTTCATCTCCTTATTTGTGTCGTATACACACTACGGAAAATCCTGATGGCTGGTCAACTTTCCTGCTATATCCTGCTCAACTTCACTCCTGCTCTGAACTTGCTTTCAGCTCTCCACATAATGTTGACTGCTCTGTCTAGACTAGACTGATCGTCTCCTCCAGAACATATGGGCGATCAGACCTTCCTGGGAGAGGGAGAGTATACTGATTGGGTCTTACCAAATGAAGTATTCTATAAAACTTCATCACAAGGGTAATAAAGCTGATAAGGATATTAGAGTTTGCCAAGGAGATTATACAATACGAAAATGTTAAATACAATATCAAAATATTCTTTCCAATAAAGGTTGATTCTGTAACAGTACTTGTGTCATTTGAATAAGTAATTTCCTATCATTTCAGCTGTCTCCGCTGTGGGTGCATTAAGTTGGGATTTGGAGGCTGGGCTGGTCGGAACAGTTCGAGAAGTACGTTTGGGTAAAAACTACCTATATTTTCCTCGGATATCTCTTGCCTTCTCTCCCACACTATCTCTGACCCAGATCACAAAGCATCACTCTTCATTTATTTTGGCTGAAATTTGAAAATTTGAATGCAACTGTTGGCTCTTCTTTTCCTGCACCCAGTTTTAACAATACTTGGTGCATCGTGAAGCGTTCCTGAGAGCCTTAGGACGTGAGAGCTTTTCAGGAGAACACCTGCTCCAACCCCCGGCTCTTCAAGGTCCCGTCCTGTTAGGAGGTTAGTTGCATGACAAGGCCTCCTTTAACAGATGATGCCAACTTTTAATCCCTTGAAGTGAAGATACACAAAAGGCGAGATGGATTTTGTTTCAGCAAAAGCTATGCTCATTCCTTTTATATAGGTCTGTATTCCTGTCCGTATCTGCATCTCTATCTCTCCACACATAGACATATGGAAAATACGCCATCTAATCCGTACACACATAGATGTCTTTCATATACAGATAGGTGTGTCTTGTATGTAAGATGAAATTTTCCGTCTTAGTGTTATCCTTAATGATGGGAGAAGAGTGGCAAATCCTCTTCCAGGGAATGGGATGGGTTGGCCTAGAACAGTGTAGGTAGACATGCAGGTAGAAGGCAGCTGAGGGTGGGAAGGCCTCCCTAGAGTTCAGGGCTACGACAGCTGCCACGCCATCAGGCCAACTGCTTCCCGAGTATCCTTCCCCCTTATTTCCATCATTCTAAACATTATATAGTCTCACCTGTGCTGGGAAGTGATTGAGGAAAGGTAAGAGTTGAAATCCTGAATCGCTGATTTGGTAGAATGCAGATCTAATTATATTATGTAGGGACGACATCTGCATTTTTAACAAATCCATAAGCCAAATCTCCACAGGACCTTTGGCCATAATAGGACCATCCAACTAAAAAATGTATTACAGATATATTACAAATTGATAATAATTTCTTATTTTTACAAATGTCACACTTCACTTGATAAATCATAGTACCTCAGGGCAAAGCAAATAATTTTACACAGTATATTCAAAACACGAGAAAGATCAACTAATATTGTAGGTGGAAGGAACTAGAAACATCAACTGGTCTAAAATTTTCATCTTCCAGATGATAGAACAAGTCTCAGAGAAGTCAAATAAGTTATTCAAACTCATTTGTAACCAAGCCAGGGTGAAAGGACTAGACCCCAAGTCCACCCTCCTCCCCCACTCTCCGTTGTTCAAAAGAGAATTGCATTCTCCTCAACCTAAATTTTTGAAGAAATCCAAATAACAAAATTGTAACCAAGTTAAATTACAATAATTTTTTCTCCTTCTCTTGATACGACGGCCAGGATATGATCGTAGTCTTTTGCGTGAAATGTCACCTCATTTATGTTGTCAGATACTGCAGGGAGATGTGGCTACAGAAAGCACAAGACAGAGCAAAAACATCATACATGAGGCTAAACACAAAAGCCACTGAGGTGTATTTAAAAGCCTTAACATGTATTGACTTTGAAAGAGATTAAGAATTTACCTCATGGTGTCAATGAATAAAGACACAAACAAAGCACTGCTTTGACCCCCGATTGACTTGGAGGCCCACTTTTTAAGATCCAGCCCCACAGCCTGTTTCCTGCAAATGCCCTTGTTCCACTATCAAGGCTGGACTAAGACTGTCGCCTTCCTCCACATGGAGACTGAACCCCGCAGTTCCTACCCACGTCCCTCCCAGACACAGCTCTGTCCTGCTTCTCTCCTGTTTCTCTCTCTGCCTGACACAGCTTTGACTTCCCTCCTCTCTTTTTGCTTCCCTCCAGCTCCCTGGAAACCAGCAAGGAAGACATTAGTAGTGGCTTCCCAGATTGCCAAACCAGACACAGCTCTGGAATGGGGTGTTTCAGTGCCTCCCACACATGGTTCTTTGTCATTTTTCTCTGCTTTCTGGAAGTACGGCCCTTGGAAATGGCTAAAAGCACTTGAGAAGCACTTGGATTTGGACAAATCTAAACCACAATCCCTATTTGATCTAAAAATATTTAGACTAAAATGCTCACAATAATGAATTACATTTGGTGAGCACATACTGTGTTCTAGGTACTTTCCAGTACATGATCTCATGTAATCCTTATGACAATCCTTTAAGGTGGGAACCGTTAACATCCCTATTTTACAGATGAAGAAACTGAGGCACGAGAAAATTAAGAAGCTGGTTAAGGTCACTCAGCTGTTGAGTTGTATAATCAGTGACTCTTGCCTCAGGTTGATGAGCTCAGAATACACAGAAAATAGGACATTTTATCAACATAATTTTTAATACTCTCCTGTCTGTTCTTTTTAGATGCTAACTTCATTTTTATTATTAATTATGTATGCTGTGTAAAAAAGCAATTTAGGTAATAGATTTTAAGATTATACCTGTATGGTGTGGGAGTCACTGGCTTGTCCAAGAATTTCCAGGAGAACTGGATCAGATACAAAGAAGAATCTTGGAAACAGTAATCTCTTCTTCTCCAAATACCTTTAAATAAAGTCATGTTACCAAATGACTTTTTCTGAATAATTAATTTTTTTTTAAATTTCTTTATTTGAGAGATAGAGTGAGCAAAAGAGAGAGAGCACACATGAGCAGGGGCAGAGGGAGAGGGAAAAGCAGCCTTCCCCGCTGAGCACGGAGCCCGATGCTGGGCTCGATCCCAGGACCCTGGGATCATGACCTAAGCCGAAGGCAGACGCTTAATGACTGAGCCACGCAGGCGCCCCTGAATTATTAATTTTGAGAGTTATTTTAGCCAAGACACAATCCCTAACATCTTTAGTAAGATACTACCAACACCTATGGTCATTTCCCATTTGCCTCTGAAATGTTTGGTTAGAACCAGTCTGTGCTCGGTCACGGATGGCATTTGGGAAATAAAGGGATTCAGAGTGAGCCTGCTCCATCATCTACGGTCTTTTTTCTCAAGAGCCCTCCTGTTGATGCAGAGAACAAAGGCAAAAGGAAACGTAGATAAAATTAAATTTCCTAACTTGCAGCCCATTCACAAATATTTGAGACAGGCAGAATACAACATTCCTCCAGGAACTCCCAACTGTCTTAATGTTAATACCTTACTAGAGGAAAAAACAACCTTAGCTTGACAATAGCCAGGATCCTATAAGTCTTCTTTAGCGTATGAAAATCCTTTTGGAAACCTCCTTTGTCTTTACCTCCCCCAACTCCAAAGTATATAATCAACTGCTCCTCATAATCCAAGTGCGAGTGCAGATCTTTCTGCCCACAGGGGTCCTGTCCCCGTGCTTTAATAAAGCCACCTTTTTGCACCAAAAAGTCTCAAGTATTCTTTCTTAGCTGTTCGCTCATGAACCCCCACTTCAAATCACATCACCATGACCTTCTAGGGGTGTTGTGAACTTCATGGCTTAAACCCAGGATGAACACATAATTATCTCCAAACCAGGATACTGGGGGAGCACTGGGGGGACCAACCAGCCATGAAGTCGAGACAAGAGGCATAAACTTGGATAAACTAGGATATACCATAACTCTATTTCAAACAGAAATTGAGAATGAACTGCCTTTTAAGAAAACCATCTGCGGATTCGTCTGGTTAATTGCTGGCTGAGCGCACATCTCTACTCCACGTCTGCAGTGGCTTGAATGGTAGTCCCCAGAAGACGTGTTCTCGTCCTAATCCCTGGAAGCAGTGCATGTGGCCTTATTTGGAAAAGGGCCATTGTAGATGTATTGAAGTTAAGGATCTTTTTTTTTTTTTTAAGATTTTATTTATTTATTTGACAGACAGAGACGCAGCGAGAGAGGGAACACAAGCAGGGGGAGTGGGGGAGGGAGAAGCAGGCTGCCCGCCAAGCCGGGAGCCCGATGCGGGGCTCCATCCACCATGACCTGAGCCGAAGACAGACGCTTAACGACTGAGCCACCCAGGCGCCCCAAAGTTAAGGGTCTTGAGAAGAGAGAATCCTAGATGATCCAGATGAGCCCTAAATCCCACCATAAGAATCCTCATAAGGGACCCGCGGGAAGAAGAGGAGAAGGACATGAGAAGACGGAGAGATCTAAATTATGTAGCCACAAGCCAAGGAACTCCTAGAGCCACCAGAAGCTTGGAGAGGCAAGGAAATACTCTCCGTTAGCACCTTCTGAAAGTGCTGACACCTCAATTTCAGATTTCTTGCCTCCTGAAGTGTAAGCAAATAAATAAATGTCTGTTGCTTTAAGCCACCCACTTGGTGGGAATTTGTTACAGTGGCCCTATAAAACTACTAAAATGTCTCAACTCCTCGACCCCCAAATCTATGGGGTCTTTTTTGCAGGAAAATTAAATTTATGCTAAATTCCTAGAGCCACTTCAGCCATCCCTACCAAACCAGAAATGCCGTCAATATTATTTACTTGTTTGGGATAAGACACCATCACATATAAAATGAGAGGAAACTTGAAACTTCAGCTCTTACCCTGTGAGTGACTTCTGACATACTTCCAACTGTTCGTGCAAATGAGGTAAAAGTTGCCCCATGGTTTCATCTCCAACACAGCAACTGATCACGTTGGGGTTCTCGTGAGCTCGCTGCATTATCTTCATCCATGACTTGTCAATATTCTGAAACCGCTTTGCTTCCTAAAAACAAACTCCTAGTTAGGAAAAATTAGCATTTGAATAAAGCAAAGTCTTCATTTTGGAATTTCCTAGAGTTCCTCAGACCAGCTTCTATTAGTTCTCAGTCTACATAATTTAAAGGAGCAATTTTTTTTCATCTGAATTAATTCTGGACAACAAAAACCCAAAGTCATAAAACTGCTTATTGAAATACTGCTTTGTCACAATGGGGCTTATCGCTTATTTGTTTTCTTACATTTAATACATTTTTCAAAATGCCACACAATTAATTTGCAGAGCTATCAACTTAAAGCTCAAATCTAGTCTTTCAGCACCCCAGGTGTTTGGTTTGATGAGCAAACTGAAGAAGCATGAAAATAATTTGATCTCAAGATCCTCTGAATAATTACAGCTCAAAAATACCCCAGGAAAAAGAAAAAAAACAAAAAACAGTGAAACCCCAAAACAAAGCTTCATTTACATTTTTGCAAATGAAATTTCTCTATTTACTATGGATGATACTAAGCTTTGCATTCAATTGTAAAAATGCCTCTAGAAATGGCATAATCTTGACTCCTTTAAAACTTTCAAGGGTATTTTTTTAAAACAATGCAACTTTCTGATTGAAAAAGAAAAGAATTATGTTCAAAACATGTGTTGTTACAAAGGGAAATGAGCCCTTTTCAAAACCCTTTTATCCTTGATTTTTAATTTATATAGATCCTGTATTTATAGAAATTCAGAAAGAGCAGACTTAATTTCATAAGAGGGACATTACCTTCATAGAACAAAGTTATTAGTAAGTTTATTTATTTAAAAGGCCCAAATAAAGCTGTTTCAAAGATTTTTGTTAAGGACTTCTAAAGCTGTTTCTTTGCCCCATGGTATATGTCTGATCTATTACTGGTCAACTTACTAATAGTTAATTTGTGCTTACACAATACAGAGTAATTTAATTCTACTCTCAGAGGAAGATTATAAGGTTACCTCTTAGAAGGATGAACTACTATAATTTAATATACCATATTTGAATGTACCTTACATCTTCAGACAACCTGGAAATTTGAAAATATGTGAGTTTCTTCTTTCTACTAAAATAAATTAAGAAATCAGCACATTTTTTAAAACTTACTTTCCCAAGGGGCTGGATAGTAAATATTTTAGGCTTTGCAGGCCATATGGTCTCTGTTACAACTACTGAACTTTGCTGTTGCAATGCTAAAGTAGCCATAGACAGAACATAAATGAAGAGGTATGGCTGTGTTTTAATAAAACTTATTTACAGAAACAGGTGCGTGGGCCAGAGATTGCAAACCTTGGTTTAAATAATCAAGATACAGCCATATGTCTTTGTAAAGATTTCTACAGAGACATATAGACAACACACATCAAACTGTACTATCAGTAGTTACAAAAACCATATTTACCTGAGGCAGCTGTTTGGCAATATCTCCACCTACAAAGACAGCTTCAAGATAAACCCAAAGGTTCTGGACTACTAGCCACTCTTCAATTATATCTGAGGAAGTAGACAATTTATACACCCAATTCTGGATAGTTTTTTTAAATGGAGCATTATATCTGAAAGTAAAAATGGAAAAATAATATATTTTAAGGATAATGCAGAAAATAATATGGCCTAACAAAGTAAATTAGAGGAGAAACATTCCTTTGAAAGTGAACTTTTTTTTTTCCTAAAAGGCAGTTCCTAATAAATTTCACACAGCTAATGAGATATTTGCTTTTCTAGGAGTAAAACTCATATCATTATAGCGATTTTACTTGTTTCTGTGTATGAGTCACAGACCAGGAAGATGAGCCAAGTTTTGTGACACAGAGGTCCAGCAAAGGAATTGTGCTGGTTGTTTCTGGGATGAAAGGGAACACATGGGATAAGGCGCTTTTACAAGACTTCTGTGAACCAAATCCAAGTGAGCACTGCCTGCAAGAATAACACGTAGAACACTATTCCTGGTCTGTGAAACTATTACAACAAGGCCAATGTCAAGATTGAGGGTTGATGTCCACCTATAGATGTGCTCTTCTCACCCACAGACTGCTAATTCCACCAGGCACTGTGCCTAGATTCTATGGTGTTAGAGATCCAGAACAGTTGCCCCCAAATAACATGCTCCCTGTTTTCTCAACATCAGAGCTAGCTGCAGAGTTCGTGAGAATTCGAGGTGTCCAGAAAGCTGGGCACAGCCAAGAAAGACAAAAAAATACAGGAGATGTCATGCAAGAAGTGATGGGAAGCTACTGGGTAAAGACCCAATTACCTACAGTTGGACTAAGAAGCTGACTTCAGTTTGTGGCAATGACAAGTAGGTTCGATGTGGTGTAGTGACATTGCTGGTGAGTGGCACTTACTGACAAGGTTCTTCAAACTTTTCTGGATCCAGGGCAGGGTGACTTGATGGTGCTCACATATATAAGGGGGTTCTTCTGGGTATAGTGTGACACCTGAATGCAACCCATAACTTCTCTAGAAGCCTATGCTATACATGGAGGTATAAAGGGAGTTATATAAAAAATTGCCCCAAGGAAATAGGTGAGCTATTCAGGCAGTAAGAAGCATTTGACTCAACACCCAATTTACACTGTCCATCTGACCATCATTCTAGAGCTGAAAGGAAGTCAGTATGTTAAAAGCATCTTCAAAATTAAGACATGCACACTAAGATGGGTACTTCAGGAGGTTGAAGCACCTAGATATTTGAGGCCAAAAATGGCCTTGCATGGAGGGAAAAAAGAGTCATCTTTGATGGCATATGGGTTCCCAACATGAAAAAGGGAGATTTGAAATAAGATCTAGCATAACCAGTTTCTGTCCTTTGGTCATTGCATAACTTTGCACGGTGGAACCTGTCATGATTGTTAGGCATTCCTATGGATCAATCGGGAATCCACTAGCAAAGTGTCACCATCCAGGCAACATCTGGAGTCAAGTCTCACCCATGGAGATACACAATTTACTCCTGAAGTCACATCTAGGTAGCCCTAGAGACCCCGCAGGCACTGCCTTGGCATTGAGTTTACTAGTACTATAAATAAGTATTATACTAATCAGGCTAAATCCAAGTTAAATATGAAACTAAGAAAGCCTTCAAATCCTGAATTCATTGGCTACAGATACTGTTCAGGTGAATCTACAGCCTTTCTTCAAGAGGTCATCATTCAGGAAATCAGCATGGCAAAATTTGCTATGAACCATGGAAACAGTATCCCATAAAGTCTGAGAACCACTGAATATCCTATGGTCACCTTTGCCAGGATTATTCAGATTCCCTGAGAGCAGAAGATGTACGTAGGATCTTAACCCCAGAAAGTCAACCCAGAACTCCCAGAGCTAGGAGCTTTGGAATTGTACATTATCCAAATGCAAGACTGCCTTTGGGGCCAGAGGCCATGCAGAATATCATTTATTAACCGGCAATCCCAACCTAGAGAAGGGATATTAGAATTCCCATGCACCCCAGACATTGATTCTGCTAATGATGAGGTTGTGACATATTTCTTAGGTGTGTTAAAGTGAAGAACGGTTGAGAATTACTGCGAAGTCAGCTAGGGGATTAGAGGTTGCTAATGCTCACATTAAGACCTGACAGTATACTTAATCTGAGTCCCATTTCCAAAAGCTGCACTCAAGGTCACAGTCACCTTCCAGCTGGTTCAGTAATCCAATGATGGATAGGTCATATTACTTAGGGCACAGTAAACCCAGCACACATATAGCCACTTTTCCCCATAAAAAAATGCATGAAGTGTTTATGTAACAAGCCCCTAATAATATATTCCTTTCATGTGTTGCCAGCATACTTTTCCTGGGTCATTGGGTGAACACTTGAGCAGGGTTGGCCAAGGAGGGCAAAGATGACATATTGGAGGAACCAAAGAGAAAGAAAATAAAATGAATAGGTCATCTCAGTGGGGACCCAAGATGTTTAAGAGATAAGCTGCCAATTTGGGGGAGAGTAATTATGATGATGCCCACCAAAAAAACAGTAAGAAGAGATAGGTACCATAAGGAAGAGACAGAGAACATGACTGTTAGGGAAAATGGGTAGCTCATTTAAGGACAGACAAGAGTGAGCACTTGAGGTCAGAATCTTTTGTTATACCACAGCTGCAAAACTGGGCTTTCACCTAGTATTATATAACCCTAAAAGCCAAATTAAAACCATCCCCCCAAGGTATAAAATTACCTGTTGCTTAGTAAGGAACCTAAGACCATTAAACTATCCTCCATCAAGGTGATAATTTCTCCCGATTCAGTTCCTTTGAGAAGGAGCTCTCCCTTTCCCTTAAATGCTGCAAAACTCAGGTTCTGGTTGGTCCAATTTTCAATCACCTGAGTCAGCTTGGCTTCAATATCCTTCTCCTTAATGGCAGATATGCAAATATCCTTCAGAGGGAGATCAAAGAATATGTCATGACATTTTCAATTACAAATTAAGTGCCTTAAAAAATCATAGAATTTTCTAGCTTGAACCTAGAAGTCATTTAGTCATTTTGTGGCCAAGGAAACCAAAGCTCATGATCATCATGTTATAAGTTCAAACCAGAACCTTCTGACCATCTGACTACTAGTGTTTTTATGGTACCATATACACACAATAACAGAACTTAAATCTTCATGTTTCTTCATTTAATTTTTAATTGGAGTTTTCTGGCCAAGATGGAGATGATAACAGCTGCTCTACCTCAGCAGGTTGTTATGAGAAACAAGGGAGGATATATGTGGGGAGTCCTTTGAACTCTTCAAAGTAACATAGAATCAGTGCTGTATTCCAGCTTGCTCTGGCCCTAATATGAATATCTCATTTGCTTAAAAGTCATTCTATTTTTTTCTCACAGGTTTTCCTGTTTTTCTGAGAGTCCTTGATATGAGAGTCTCACAAGGGAAAATAAAAGTAATGTATTTTCCCTACCAGGCCTCTATTTATTTTCATACTTAGAATCACAGATCTCAGAGATGGGAAGGAATCGAAAGGTACAAGGTATTTCCACAAATAATTATAATACAAAGTAGCATGTAATCAATGTCCTCAGAATGGTATGACTTGTGAATTCTGAAGAGGGAGAAAGGACTTCTGCCCGCAGTCAGGAGGAAAGGCCTCACTGAGGAGGGAGCATCTGAGAGAGAGTGGGATTCCAGTGGGTGGTGGGGGCAGACATTTTACAGTGAGGGAAAGAGTTCCTTTAGAGGCAGTGAGTCCAGGGACAGAAGGAATCCAGCTTGGCTAATGGCAGGACATGCAGAACAGAGCAAATAGGATGCACAGGCATAAACAGTGCTGAGGATCTGTTTTGGGGTACAAATAGTAACTGAACCCTGGAATTCCTTGGAATTACAGAATGAAGTTTTCAAAGCACAGCTTATAAATGGCTATATTCTTAAGTGTAAAACCTACCTATAAGAATGAGATGGGCACCAAAGTTCTTTTTCAATTCTTCATTTCCTTCAAGAGTATTTGAATGACATTTATAAGTAGGGCAAAATTCTTTGAAAACAAAATTTCTGGTGTACATGTGTTTTTAAGAAGGGGAGAAGGAGATGGAGAGCCTGGGTGGCTCAGTGGGTTAAACATCTGCCTTCAGCTTAGGTTGTGATCAGTTTAGGTCCTGGGATCAAGCCCCGAGTCGGGCTCCCTGCTTAGCGGGAAGCCTGCTTCTCCCTCTCTCTCTGCTCCTCCCCCTGCTTGTGCTCTCTCTCTCTCCCTCAAATAAATAAATAAAATCTTAAAAAAAAAAATAATGGTAAAAGAAGAGGCAGAAAACTTAAAACCATACATAGGGGAGATTTCTGGTTACATGGTATAGTTCCTCACCTCCAAAAATATAGAATAATTGATAAAACACAAACAGAGAAAGTAGAAAACATACCAGGCTTAAAAACCAAACATCTCCATGGACCAGAAGTGGAAAAGACACACAAACCACTGGGTAGAGATGAAGCCCAGGCCTGAGGGCTCTGGTGGGGGCTTATTTGCTTATCTTAGAGCTTCTGCCTGAGAGCAGGCATCTAATTTAATACACAACTCGGGGCCTACTGAAATACTCTCCAAAGACAGAGGCTGGTGGGCACCACTGATGCACTGTCCCTCTGCCTCACTCCAGGTCACCGATGTCTCCCAGAAAGGAGCTTATGCACATGTCTGGCCCCCTGGGTTTTTTGGTAACTGCCACCCAGGGGATGTCTCTTGATCACCTGATTCTGGTGGCAAATAAGGTTTGCCACAGGACTATAATAAATGGGGTCGGGGGGGAGGTCCATAACCAGCTACCCACCCCAGGGCTGAACACTGAGACATCAGACAGAAATGGCCAGTTTCTTACTTTGAAAGAGGCCTCTTGATTTATCTTCACAGCTGTGGCCTGAGGATCAGGCCTCTAATGAAACATACATCCAAGGGACAACTATAATCCTCTCCAGAGACTTGGAAGGGTGAGTGCTATCTTCAGACTCCTTATCCTGTGCTCCCAAATGCTGGCATCTCCAACAAAGGAGCTTGTGTAAATAACTGGCCCTCGGCATTTGCGGCTGTCACCCAAAAGGCACATCCCTTAACAGCGTGACTCTGGTGACCAGTGGGGCTTGTGTTCGTGGGTTCAACAGAATGGTAGCAAGCAAAGAAAATTCTTAACTGGCTATCATTCCCAGGTTCAGTGCAGAGAGGACAGACATAAATGCTCATCTCCTAGTATTCCCTTAAAAGAGGCATATTTGCATACTTTAAGAGTTGCTGCCTAAGGATATAGCTTCCAAACAGCCTAAATCTAGGTGCTGACTGAGATCCTCCACTTTAGGGCCTGACAGGTCTTGTTACATCCTCAATTACTGGGACCACCTAAAGATAAAGTAGACTACTGGAACAAACACAAAGGTTTGAGAGACAAACAAGAGCTAGGGCAGGCTTGAAGGTTAAGATTTATCTCCTCACAAGGCTACTCCTTCATGACTGGGAGAGGATGTTGTTTTATATGATGCATAAAAACCAACACAGAGAGCAAAGTAAAATGAAGAAACAGGAATATGATCCAAATAAAACAAGTTATGACCTCAGAAAAAGACTTCAATGAAACAGAGATGAGTGATTTACCAGTCAAAGAGCTCAAAATAATGGTCATAAAAATACCCACCAAGTTCAGGAGAACAATGTGTGAACAAAATGAGAATTTCAACAAAGAAAAAGAAAATATTTTAAAGATACCAAGTAGAAGCCATGGAGCTGAAGAATACAAACACAGAACTGAAAAGCACCATAAAGGGGTTCAACAGCAGACTAGATGAAGCACAAGAAAGGATCATGAACTTGAAGACAAGGCAGCAGAAGTTACCCAACCAGAGCAAAAAGGAAAAAAGAATGAAAAATAGTGAAGACAACTTAAGGGACTTACAGATCACATGGGCCAATATTCACATTCTAGGAATCCCAGAAGAAGAGGGCAGAAAACTTATTGGAAAAAATAATGGCTGAAAACGTCCCTAAACTGGGGGAGGAAACAGACATGCAAACCTAGGAAGCCCAGAGAATTTCAAAACAGATGAACCCAAGAGACCCACACCAAGACACTATAATTAAAATGTCAAAAGTTAAAGAGAAAATCATAAAAATGACAAAAGGAAAACAACTTGTTATGTACAAGGGAACTCTCACAAGACTAATAGCAGATTTTTCAGCAGAAACTTTGCACACCAGAAGAGAGGAGCACAATATATTCAGAGTGATGAAAGGAAAAAATTATCATGAATACCCTACCTGGCAAAGTTGTCCTTCAGAGTCAAAGGAAAGATAAAGAGTTTTCCAGACAAGCCAAAATGTAAGGAGTTCGTCACCACTAGACGAGCCTTACAAGAAATGTTAAAGTGACTTCTTTAGGCTAAAATGAAACAGTGTTAATTAGGAGCAGGAAATATATGAAAGTGTAGATCTCACTGGTAAAGGTAAGTATATAGTAAAATTCAGAATAATCTAATGTTGTAAAGGTAGTAAGTTAATTACTTAAAAAGCCAGTATGAAGGTTAAAAGACAAATGTAGTAAGACTATAACTACAATTATTGTCAATGGATACACAAGATAAAAATAAGTAAACTGTGACATCAAAAACAAAATGTGGTGGGGGGAAGTAAAAATGTAGAGATTTAGAATGCATTCAAACTTCAGTTATCAACTTAAAATAGACTGTTATAATTATGTTGTTATATATAAGCCTCATGGTAACCACAAAGCAAAAACCTATAGTAGATACACAAAAGATAAAGCATACCACTACAGAAAATAATCAAATAACAAAAGAAGAGAGCAAGAGAAGACAGGAACAAAGGAATTACAAAAGAGCCAGAAAATGATTAACAAAATGGCAATAGGTACATACCTATTAATAATTCCTTTATATGTAAATAGACTAAATTCTCAAAAAAAAAGAGTGACTAAATGGATAAAAAAAAAAAAGACGCATCTATGGGCTGTCTACAAGAGATTCAGTTCAGATGTAGGACACACACAGAGTGAAATTGAAGAAATGGAAAAAGATATACCATGCAAATGGAAACCAAAACAAAGCTAGGGTATTTATACTTACATAAGACAAAACAGATCTTAAGACAAAAACTGTAATAACAGACAAAGAAGGTCATTATATAATGATAAAGGGGTCAAACCAACAAGAGGATATAAATTTGAAAATATTTATGCGCCCAAATAGGAACACCCAAATATATAGAACAAATACTAACTGACCAAAAAGAAGAAAATGACAGCAATACAATAGTAGTAGACCTTAATATCCTACTTTCATCAATAGATAGATCATTCAGACAGAAGATCAATAAGAAAACAATGGCCTTAAATGACACATTAGATGAGATGAACTTAGACATATGTAGAACATTTCATACAAAAGCAACAGAATACACATTCTTCTCAAGTACACATGGGACATTCTCCAGGACAGATCACATGTTAGGCCACAAAATAAGTCCCAATAAATTTAAGAAAACTGAAATTATGTCAAGCATCTTTTCCAACCACAATGGTATGAAACTAGAAATCAATTACAAGAAGAAAACTGGAAAATTCACAAACATGTGGAGATTAAATAACATGCTACTGAAGAACTAATGGCTCAAAGAAGAAATCAAAAGAGAAATAAAATAATACCTTAAGAAAAATGAAAATGGAAATACAGCATACCAAAACTTATGGGATGCAGTGAAAGCCGTTCTAATAGGGAAATTCATAAGGCTAAATGCTTACATTAAGAAAGAAGAGAAATCTCGAGGGCGGAGCAAGATGGCGGAGGAGTAGGAGACCTGGATTTCGTCTGGTCTCAGGAATTCAGCTGAATCGGGATCAAACCATTCTGAACACCTACGAACTCAACAGGAGATCGAAGATAAG